ACCCCTCCGTATATGACTCCGCCCCCTGCGGTGCCCGACGCGGGCTACAGCGACGACGACGACGACATCGTCCCAGAGGTGACCGAGGCAGAATTGAGAGCGGCGGTGCGCCGGATGGGCGCCAAGAACACCGCCCCGGGACCCGACGGCCTGCATGGCAAGGCATGGGTCCTGGCCTCAGAGGCTCTCGGGCCTCGATTGATTGGTCTCTACAGCGCATGTCTGGAGAGAGGCCAGTTCCCGCTTCTCTGGAAAGCAGGGAAAACTGGTCCTCGTGCGGAAGACGGGGCGCCCTGCGGACTCTCCGTCCGCGTACCGGCCCATAGTGTTGCTCGACGAGGTGGGGAAAGTCTTCGAAAGAATCATTTCGAACCGCCTCGTCGCGCACCTGACGGACATTGGGCCGGACTTGTCGGACGGCCAGTTCGGCTTCCGCAGAGGGCGCTCCACGGTGGACGCCATCATGCGCGTTAGAGACCTCACGACGGGGACTGCAGTGTCCAGGGGTAAGGTCGTAGTGGCGGTGTCTCTGGACATCGCCAACGCCTTCAACTCCCTGCCCTGGAGCTGCATCTTGGAGGCACTCCGATATCATCGGGTGCCTACCTACCTCCGTCGTGTAATCGAGGCTTACCTGACGGACAGGTCCGTCAGCTACCCCGGTCACCGGGGCGAGTGGAACCGGCGAGAGATGTCACGCGGTGTTCCACAGGGTTCGGTTCTGGGGCCGCTCCTGTGGAACATCGGCTATGACTGGGTGCTGCGCACCGACCTCCCGAACGGCGTTAGCACTATATGCTACGCCGACGATACGCTGGTGCTGGCGCACGGGAGGTCACACCAGGCGGCGGCCGACTTAATGGCGACAGCGGTTGCGACAGTCGTTGAGAGAATCCGGCAGTTGGGACTCGAGGTGGCGCTCCACAAGTCCGAGGCCATGTGTTTTCATGGCCGCGGGAACGCGCCACCTCCGGGTGGGTCCCAAATAACGGCGGGAGGGAGTTACCATCGGCGTCGAGACGACGATGAAGTACCTAGGACTCGTCCTCGACAGTCGGTGGAACTTCATAGAACACTTCCGACGTTTGGCTCCAAAGTTGGAGAGGACGGGGGCTGCGTTTAAACGCATCCTCCCCAACCTCGGGGGGCCAAACGCCTCCTGCCGGAGGTTATACGCCGGGGTCGTGCGGTCCATGGCCCTCTACGGCGCCCCTGTTTGGGCGCCTAACCTGTTGCGGCGTCCCGCTCGGACGCTGCTCATGGCACAGAGGGTCATGGCGATCCGAATGATCCGCGGATACCGCACGATCTCTGGGGAGTCGGCGAACCTCCTTGCCGGATTACCGCCGTGGGATCTGGAGGCGAAGGTGCTCGCGCGCGTGCACAGCATGCGCGCGGAGGCACGTCGCCGGGGCGAAACTCCGCTGCCGCGCCAGATAAGTGCGTGGCGGGATGAGCTCCGGCGCGATCTCATGGCGGAATGGCAGCAACGACTGTCGCAACCGAGGGCTGGGCTCGCTGCCATCGCAGCGGTAAGTCCCCTCTTTGAGGAGTGGCTTGAGAGACGCTACGGCGTCCTCACCTACCGCCTGACGCAGGTCCTCACCGGACATGGCAGTTTCGGGAGGTACCTGTGTCTGATGGGGCGGGAGGAAACGCCCGGGTGTCATCACTGCGAGGACCGCCCTGAGGACACGGTGGAACACACGTGGGAGAATGCCCTTCGTGGGCTGAGCACCGCCGTGCCTCAGGGAAGTGATCGGCGATGGCGACCTCTCGCGTCCGGGCCTAGTGCAGGCCATGATGCGGAGCGAGGGGGATTGGGATGCCGTCTCCTCCTTTTGCGAAGCAGTCATGCTAGCTAAGGAGGAGGCGGGACGCGTGAGGCAGCGAAGCGCTGCCTCCTCGCAACCCAGCCATCGCGAAGGACACACCGGGCGTCGGGGATCGCGGGACGATCTCCGGCCACCGTAAGCGCGGGCCTGCGGACGGCGAGCATGGGTGGCTCCCCGTCCGACCAGAAACAGACCCGAGCGTACGGCGCGAGCAGATGATATTAAAAGCGGCGAATATTTTAAAATCTAAAATACCTCACAAAATATTACAAGACTTTTCTACTGTTCAATGTAGAAGTAATCTTGGTCAAAGACGCACTCGGCCGACGCCATACTACTATTAAAATTACTATTTTATTACAGTTGTACCATAGCTCGATAGATGGCGTTGCCCATATTTAAATTCAATGGTTTCGTTGCCGGCAAAACATTAGGTTGATTTGTTTGACGTAAATAAATTGACTGCCTCATTGGCCGAGTGGACGCAATTGCGACTGCCGAGCAAGGGATCTCAGGTTCGATTCCCCCGGGTAGGGCAAAGTATTACTGGGCTTTTTCAAAAAATCTCATTAGTAGCACGGAGTCTGGAATTGTGCCCGGTATATGCATAGGCTCACCCCCTATTACATGGGACTCATAACAGAAATAGTGAAAAGTGGGTGTTATATTGTACAGTGACAATAAGTACCGTAATGTACATCTCTGCCTACCCCATCAGGGGTACAAGGCGTGATGTTATGTTATGTTATGTTAAATAAATTGTCTCATTCTGAGGTACTTCGTATCATTGTAAGGACTAGGCTTTAAATGACATTGAGCCGAGAATGTTCATCTACTCTAGTACTACTTATAGTATCATAATTATATAGATTTCAATTAATCAATGAAATAAATAACGTAACTAGGTAAATTAGTTTGTTCAGAATGACAAAGCATTTAGTTAGCATAAACATGTATTTTCTTTCTTTCTTCTTCTTCATTTACCCTTTTATGGAAAGCGTAGAAAACTCTCGTTTCATTAATTTTCTATGACCATTGTTATCTGTATTTAAATGATTGTTTTACGTCCCTAGTAATTATTTCCACCTAGCGGAATAAACAGTTTAGTGGCTATGCCGGCGCAGACGATATTAAAATGTTACTAGACCTTCAATGATAAATTTTATTGTCCTGTAGGCATAATTGTACTATTTCTGTATTTATACAAATATCTTGCCCTTTGTTCTTGTTCAGGCACAACTATAAAATGTGCTTTATTCTAATTTATTTTGCTAGCCTTAATTAAAATAAAAAGTGGAAAATAATCTTAATAATAATACAGTATTTAATAGGGTAGTTTCTTAAATTTTATTTTAATGTCCGTCTGGTACATTAATTTAAAACTTTAGACACGTATGTGTTCTTTTCTCACTAAATTGAATACTTTCGAAGATATATTAATTTGAAACATCGGGTGACGTCACAGCGTGTCACATTTTGTAGCACGTGACGTAAAGACCTCCCACTCCTAAATTTAGCTCCATTTTATCTTACAAGTATTGCAACTTAATACGAGAAAATAAAAAAAATACGTTTCCAATATTTTTTCAATATCTAACTGACGGACTAATTTTGAGACTCTGGACCCTTTCTTCAACTCAAATTGTGCCTAGTATATGATAATATATAGGAACACTTCCAATTGCATGAGACTTCACAGGACTCGTAATTTAATCAGTGGAATAAAATTTGCGCATCTGCTAACCCCCTTCAAGGCCTGAAAGGTGTGTCGTTAAGTTGCCTTAATTTTCATACTAGCGACCTGACCCGGGTTCGCACGAGTGCAATATGCATGTATTGTACATATAAACCTTCCTTAAAAATCACTATATCTATTAAAAAAAAACAGCATCAAAATCCGTTGCGTAGTTTTAAAGATGTAAGCATACATAGGGACAGACAGACGGCGGATAGCGACTTCGTTTTATACTATGTAGTGATGTTACATATTTTTATTAATATAAAGCAGTTGTCACGTATTTGTGAACGTGAGTTTATACAATAGTGGTACAGTCGTGCGCACATGAAATATAAATAATGGTGTGGTAGGTTTATTGTCATACCGATAGTTTGCTCTTCGGAAAGATACGGTCATGATACGATATCCAGTGTGAAGCGGCCTAATCTATATGAAGAAACAATGTGTCTTTGTATATCGCCATTTCTTTTACTAGACATCATTGGATTACTATAATACTACACAAACAAAAAAGCATTGTACTGGTTTCATCATTACTGCTTCTAAAAGTAAGAAGTTCCATGTTTTTGTGCCGGGAACATCATCCAACATTTTCTCCCACCCTGGGTGAGACAAGTTGGAGTGTCAGACTCGTACTGACTAAAGTCCACCCCATTTCTACTCCTGCACTTTAAGCCGGAGTCCCGGCAATCAGTTAAGCCTTCCCCGGCTCCGTATCGCCATCAGCCCTACTGGGCCCTATCTGTGGTGGAAAAGTGAGCTTCTAAGTTTACTTAATCACAGATACTAACAGCAGATTAGTACTTGACTAGTATCATGTTTAGTGGCCGTGTCTGTAAGTCTGTATGAAATTTTAATACAAATTCGAATAAATTGATCTGCTGGCCACGAGATTTACACACACTTACACACTCAAGTCTTCACGACGAGTGGAAGTACGAGGTTTCTTTTTTTATGGAATAAGGGACAAACGAGCTGATAGATCACCTGATGGTATACGATCAGCGCCGCCCATGGACACCCGCAACAACAGAGAAGGGATAATAATAACATTTGAGTAATATTAAACAAGTCTATTTCATTATGTTGTAGGGACATCCTTTTTTGTTATTTGACAGTCTGGCACCTCTGAAGCTTCAACATAGTGTATATTTTTTCGATAAAATTTTAATTATACATGTAATACACAGCTTGATGAGTACTCGTTTTACGTAATGTATGAAATGTATTTAATGTTATTTTAAATTATTATCCACGGTAGTAAAAAATATGTTTCAAAAATGACATCATTTTCCATAATAATGTTTATTTTATGATATTTACACGATGAATTAATTTTGAAAGTCATTGTCCATACAGATCTATATATCTGAAACTGCAAGAAGTCTGTTTATTACTGGAAGGTGTGTCGCTCAGGGTGGTCGACAATGGATAAAATAAAATTCAAAGTTAATGGCGAGGAATATTCAGGTAAATATTAAAAAAAAATATTTTATTAGCTCGTATTTATTTTAAAAATCGTGATTCGTTACTTCATTCTTTAGCATGGCCTTTTTAATTTTAAGTTTAAGGGCTACAATTAATTTAAATCAGATTTGGGCAAATGACAGTATTTACATTACCGAATTGATTATTTTTATTAAAATTTCAAAATATTATCAGTAAAAGTAAACCAGTCTTATTTATTTGTGTCAGTCATGATCGTGGTTGTTAAAGAAATCATTTATGATATATACCTATATTATGTAGCCTAGATTTATAAAAAAAAATGCTATTATCATTATCATCAGCTGGTTTCCGACCACTATTGGATATAGGCCTCTCCATTAGCATGCAGTAAGCTCTCTCTGAGCTTAAAATTGAGCACATTCAACTACAATTAAAACAACATAAAAACCAGAATATTTCTACTAATATATTAATTCTATAATTTTTGTCGTCAGTGGGATGTGACGTGAGTTCAGATGTGATGCTGCTGGACTACCTGAGGGAGCACATTGGTCTCCGCGGCACCAAGTACATGTGTCGAGAAGGCGGCTGTGGAGGATGCGTGGTCAGCGCTTGTTCACCTTCCTCAGCACCTTATGCCATCAATTCGGTAATATGTTTTTCATATATTACGTCATGCTTTGATTATCCCAAGGCACTTAGGTATAGATCGACAAAATTTTCCATGAGGCCTTTGTAATAAAGAGTCTTTTCATCAGGCACAACCTCAATTGTAATCTATATATATAAAAGAAAGTCGTGTTAGTTAGTCGTGTTAGTTAAAATTGGTGGGGAGGTAGCTTAGAACCAGGAGACGGACATAGGATACTTTTTACCCAATTCTTTTTACTTTTTACCGAAAATCAAGAACGGGAACGGGAAATATCGGGATTGCGCGTACGAAGTCGCGGGCAGAAGCTAGTAATGGATAAACAATAAACACAGCCCAGCCCTCGGGTCGAACTTGCGATACTTCAGCAGTCGATTACGATTCCAAACATCAAGTTTTCTAATGGTTGGATTATGAAGTTACATAAAAAATACGCCTTAGATATACAGTTCACTTAGAAATTGTAATAGTCTTGTAAAATATTTATGTTTTTTCTTAGTGCCTAAAACCAGTCACAGCATGCCATGGTTGGGAGATCACCACCATCGAAGGGTTGGGCAATAGGAAGAAAGGCTACCATGAGCTTCAGACGACACTGGCGGAGCAAAATGGTTCCCAATGTGGGTACTGCTCACCATCCTGGGTGATGGCAATGAACAGGTATAGTCATACATAAGTATTACTTATAGATGTTCTCATTCATATACAATTTACTTCGGAATTGAATAAGATACCATATGAACAAACAGGTAGCCAAAATTATTATAGCTGGTCTGTTTGCATTCTGCGGTTCTTTATCAATAAACACTTGTACAAATAACCGTTAATTTAAAAAGTAAATTAATTAGAAAGAAAGAAATAAAGAAAAAAACATTTATTTGGCAATTAGCACACAAAACAAAGATTATAAAAAAATTTAAATAACTTATTATTGTTCTTTGTTTTTTACTTCGATCTCTTTTATCCTTGCATGTTTTGTCTTAGCTTTTTATGAAGCATGGATTACAAAAGAAATCTTCATCTCGAGACTATTGGTAAATTTTTATTTTACGATTTCAGTCTCCTACAAGCCAATCCAAATATTACGATGCTGGAAGTAGAAAAATCTCTAAGCAGTCAGACTTGCCGCTGCACCGGTTACAGGCCCATTCTAGAAGCTTTCAAAAGTTTCGCCGCAGATGCTCCCAGACAAATTAAACTTATGGATATTGAAGACCTTAAAATCTGCAGGAAAACTGGAGAAACTTGTAACAAGAGTAACTGTGATGATAATGAATGGTGCTTTGTAGACCAAGAAGATGGTAATGATGTTATTGAAATTCAATTGAAAGATGACAGGATTTGGTTCAGAGTTCAAAAAGTCAAAGATATATTTAAAATATTGAAAAGGGAGGGTGATAGTTCTTATATGCTTCTAAGTGGGAACACAGCAAGAGGTAAGTAAGATAAGGTAGTAAATGATGGTATAATAAAGTAAGATACTTCTATTAGAACGGGGACTAACGCATAAACATTATTACAGGAGTATATCCCATTGATGAATATCCTCGTGTCATCGTAGACATAAGTGGAGTCCAGGAGCTAAAAGGATACAAACTTGACCAAAACCTGATAGTGAACGCCGGGACCACACTCACAGAGTTCCTGTCGATACTGAAGACTGTAGCTAAAGAAGAATACTTCGGTTACCTGCAGAAAATTTACGATCATATCGAAAAAGTTGCCCACATTCCTGTTAGAAATGCAAGTAGAAATAGTTTTTCTCTATTTATTCAAACTAAAAGTTACTCTTACAAAATCTCTTAACAGAAGTTTGCTTTGCATTTGGCCTGTTTTGTAATTTAGATCCGACTTATTTGAATAGCTAGGAGTCCTGAGAGCTTCCCGGCTGACATGTATAATGTATTTGTAGGTGGCGACGATTGCAGGCAACCTTATGATGAAGAACCAACACAAGGGGTTCCCGTCAGACATTTTCTTGCTTTTGGAAATGATTGGGGCACAAGTCACTATACGTAAGTCTTTTTAGTTGAAAAGTAAACCAATGAGCTATGCTATTTAGGGTATGTTCTAAGATCTAACTAAAAACTGTGTTATTTTTTCAGAGAAGAGCCTGTTAATTAAGAAAACGCTAACGATGCAAGAGTTTCTCAAAGTGAATATGACAGGGTCTGTCATACGTAACGTGATGTTACCACCTCTCAATGACAGTCATCGTATCTTCACTTATAAGGTCAGTTTGTTTGAAGTATAATTGTAAAGTCGTTGTTCTTTACAAGGTGTAAAGCCGTAAATATTTCTCCATTTCACAACACACGTTGAGAAATTTTAATTACTATTTTGGAGCATTAGCAAGCAGCCATAAACTGTAAGCAATTAAATAAATACCTCGAATTTGTAAAACATTGAAAGCAGATACGCGCGTAGTTATAATACCTAGAAAGCAAACATAGTATTGTTAATATCTACTAACTTTATGAGATCTTTTGAATGCTCAAAAGAATATTCAATTAAAATATGACTGATATAGTAATTTTGAATTCTGTTGAGTACAAATTGTTAAATAGAAACAGACAATGAAAGATGCTTGAATATACTCTTAAGTATCATTGGAATATTTAATATCAAATTAAATACGACAAGTAATAGTTTTGAAAGCATTGTTTTAAAATTAGATGTGAATGATGAAATATATTGTACTTTCTGGTAATTTGAATAAATGATGTTCATCTTATAGATAATGCCACGGGCTGAGAATGCTCGCGCTATGGTCAACTCAGGATTTTTATACAAGTTGACAACTGGCAATGTAGTACAAAGTGCAAGGATAGTGTTTGGAGGTCTTTCGCCAAAATTCGTCCGAGCGACTGCCACAGAACAGTTCTTAGCTGGAAAGAAGCTGTTCACTAATGAGACGCTAACATCAGCCCTTAAGATCATGGAGCAGGAACTGGTGGTTGAAGACAGTCCTCCAGATCCCTCAGTGGAGTATAGGAAGAAAGCAGCTTTGGGACTATTTTACAAAGTAAGGTTTACTTTTTAAATGTGATCTAAAATATTGTGACGAAACATATTCGCAGTGTATAGTTCACATTGAAACAGTTGGAATTACAAAATTTTACATTGAATAGTTTATGAACATGTCGTCCGGACCATTTACATTGATTTTTGTGTGCGGTAACAATTCGAATTATTTTATTTTTACATATCAAACAAACACTTCATTTATAGATTCATAGATTATTAATGAATTACTAAAAATCTTGCCTATTTCATATTCCACAGGGTCTTCTAGCGCTCTCACCTGAAACAAATCTGAATACTCGCTACAAGTCAGGCGCAACGAACTTACACGATGAGCGTCCAGTTTCCAGAGCCGCTCAAGTGTTTGATACCAACACAACAGTCTGGCCCATTAATAAACCTATAACAAAAGTTGAAGCGGTGGTAAATATCAACATATCAGATTTTTATCATCATCATTACATGAGCCTCAAGGCGTCCACCGTTATACATAAGCCTCCCCAGATATTTCTTATCATATCATATCATCATAGTCATATTCGATTTTTATCGGTCCGGTCAATAATTTTAGATATTAAATTTGTTCTCATAATTATGCAGATACAATGTGCAGGCGAAGCTTTTTACACTGAAGATTTGCCTAAATATCCAGATGAAGTGTTCTGTGCCTTTGCTCTGACTACAGTTGCGCTTGGTGACATTGTTTCTATTGATGCCAGTAAAGCATTGGTAAGATTTTAATGCCTTGTTGTGTGTTTTTTGACTACTATATGAATGTATATGTACTAAAATAAAATAAAACTATTTAGGAGTACCCTGGAGTAATAGCTGTCTACACTGCGGATGACATACCAGGAATAAACTCATTTACTCCACCTGACTCATTTTTGTATTCAGCTAACGAAGAAGTATTAGCCAAGGGTACAGTCAAATACTATAATCAACCAATGGCCATAGTGGTAGGTGAGACTCGTTACATCGCTGACAGAGCTGCTAAATTAGTAACCGCCACTTATGCTAATGTCAAAGAACCACTACTAGACGTGAAGCAGACTATAAATAACACTAGTAGAAGTACAAAATATACAAATGTAGCTTCAACAGACACTGGCACAGATGTGGTAAAAGTAATAAAAGGATTTAATGAGATACATGCCCAATACCATTACGTCATGGAAACTGTTACCACTGTTGTGAAGCCATCAGATGAAGGGCTGGATGTATACTGTTCCACACAGTGGATGGAAGGTGTGCAATTGATGATATCGAGAGCTTTGAATTTGAGTCAAAACCAGTACGTACGATTGTTTTTTTAGTTTAATGTAATTATTAACGCCTTCATTACTTTTCTCTACTTTTCAAAACTAATAATAAAGAAAAAAGTATTTAAATTGTAAGTCTTCTTTGATTATTAGGGTTGATGTGCACACCCGTCGTTGTGGAGGAGCATATGGATTGAAACTGTCTCGTAGTACCCAAGGAGCGATAGCTGCCGCTCTCACAGTACAGAAACTAAATAGACCATGTCGATTTATTCAGTCGTTGACTACTAACACGAGAGCCTTGGGAAAGAGACTGCCAGCCTGTTCCGATTTTGAGGTAAGTTTATCTTCTATACGTGGGAAAAATTCAAGATATGGTATATGAAAGTATAACAATAATAATTATGTTCTGATTCTATTAGGCGGGTGTAAACAGCTCCGGAGCCATACAATACATCAAGTACAAAGTATATGAAGACAATGGATATAAGACAAACGAACAATTTACTCAACTTGGTGTGGGCCAATTTAATAATGCTTACAATAGGGCGCGTTGGGATTATACGAGCTTTGATTCTACTACTGATTCTGCTAAGAATACATGGGCAAGAGCACCAGGTCAGTGGTCAGTGTATAAGTATTTGTCTGTTTGTCATAAAAATAATTTTACAATAATTGTTATTTTTAATTTAAAGGGACTTTGGAACACGTTGCAATGGCGGAATTGGTGATGGAACAAATAGCTTACGAAATGAATCTAGATCCTTTAGATGTCAGGCTAGCTAATTTAGATGCGCAATACTCAAATGACATCAAAGAAATGGTTGATTATATAATGATACAAGCCGATTATCCCAAAAGACGTGAAGCAGTCAATAAATTCAACACTGAAAACCGATGGAAGAAACGGGGTCTAAGGTTCGCTCTTTTGCGGTGGACTCCAGTAGGAGGCATTAACCTTTACATTAATTTATCAGTGTATCGTGGTGATGGTTCTGTAGTTATAACACATGGTGCCATAGAAATGGGACAAGGAATCAATACTAAGGCGATTCAAATTGCAGCTTACTTGCTAAATATTCCTGTTGAGAAAATTATAGTGAAGGAGAACAACACAGTAATTGCACCAAACTGTTCATTATCTGGAGGAAGTATTATGAATCAGAATGTTATATTGGGAGTGAAACGAGCTTGCCAGCAACTTCTCGAGAGGTTAAAACCAGTGAGAGATACCATGGATAATCCCACATGGGAAGAGCTGATAACAAAAGCATATAACAATAATGTAGATTTGCAAGCTCATGGATTTACAAGGACTGATGAGGAGTATCCTTTCCCGGTTTACGGAGTAACGTTAGCTGAAGTAGAAGTAGATATTTTAACTGGACAGTCTGAGTTATTGAGGGTAGATCTCTACGAAGATGCTGGGCAAAGTATCAGTCCTGAAATTGATATTGGTCAAGTAAGTTCATACTTTTTTAGACATGAATTTTTTGTACTTTTTTAATTTTGTAATTCTGTAATTATATTCTAGGTGGAAGGTGCTTTCATGATGGGCGTAGGGTACTGGACTAGTGAGAAACTAATTTATTCTTCGACTGGAGAACTCCTTACAGACAGGTCGTGGAACTATTATGTACCGCTGTCTAGAGATATACCGCGAGATTGGAGAGTCTACTTTAGGAAGAATTCTTATAGTGCAGATACTGTTTTCGGGTCAAAGTGTAAGTAAATTATTTAACGGAATTTCATAACATTTACATACTAATCTTGTGGAAGTATTGAGTTCAGTTTTTTTGGGTATCTACGGTTGGTGAAAATGGAACAAGAAAGCTGAATGAATTCAGTAATTTTAAAAAACAGTATTTAAATATTGCTTAGAAGTCCCTTAATTATTGCATTTTTTGAAATTTATTTAGGACATTAGCATCGCGATTGTGTACAAATGGTAATTGGCTGGCCATTGTCTACGAGAGCTTTGGGAATTTATGTCCTTGGGTAACTCTTATCATTGCTTCCATTACGCAACTGTAACTGTTCTTAATTTATAATGGTGCTACATTTGAATTTTATTTTAATCTCCTCTTTGTTTATGTTATTTCATTGGCTGTGTTGTTGGCATCAAATGAATTGACTATCTTAAATAATTATATTTCTGATATAATGAGTGTTTGATTCACTTATGGCCGTTTTCACCCACAACCCCTTAACCATCTCTTAACTAAAAGTTACTTCCTCAATCCCTGAATCCCCAACAATCCTAATTCCTAATCCCCAAAAAGCCGATAACAATGGGCGATGAATGGTAAGCAATGGGCGACGCCGATTTATCAGGTGATTCGTATGCTCGATTACCTGCTTATCTCATAAAAAAAAAACTTAGCCTGACGTAGCACTGAAACTACTTTCGTCAACTACAGGTTGACGAAAATGAAAATGACGTTAAATGTCACCTATCATAGCTAAAGGGTTTCTTAAAATTTAGGAGAATTTGGTGGAAACGGCCATTAGGTATATTTATAATAATCAAAGTACGTTAAAGTCAAAATAAATAATATCTGTACAGGTATTGGCGAGCCTCCGATATGTATGGCAGTAGTAGTGGCTTTGGCTATGCGGGAAGCTATCGTCGCAGCCAGATTGGAAGCAGGCATTCCCACCACACAGTGGTTCCAAGAACGTGAGTAATACATGACAGATTATTAGATCGCTCAGATAAAGGAGAATAGTTATAAGAGTTTTGATTTAGAAAGTCAAGATGATATTTTAAATGTCGAAGTACGTACTTATATTGTACGAAGTGATGTCTAAATAAAACCTAATTATGGAGAACGGTATTCAGTGTAATATAATTATTACTAGCTGTTACCCGTGACTTTGTTTCATATTTCTTGTTAATTTATACTTTTTTGCCACAACGTCTTGATTGGCGAGGCGTATTTGAGAGCTAACGTATGAAACAGAACGTTTATTGTCTACTCAAGATGGCGACTGCAGTTTGTCTGTCAGTGTCATTAAAATGAATTAATAAAACGAAATAATCTCCATAATCCGAATTTTGTGGATATAAGTTGTCAACTCTAAATTGATATTTTTATGTTTTGTTAATCAAGTAATGTTTCGACCGAGTCTACCGTACCCCTTGACGAAATTATTAATATAGATTGGTTCGAATTATTATTTATTATTATGTATACGTTTTATTATTTTGTTTTACAGAAGGACCTTACACAGTCGAACGAAACTTGCTGTTGTCGTCCACTAATATTGCTGATTTTAAGTTTAATTGAACAATATTAATTTTTGCATATAACTGTCGTTTTGATATTTTATGAATAAAATTAATTATTATTGTATCAAATTATGAGATGTTTTATTTTGCCCTTATTGTGGTTTGTATAAAAGACAAAGTTAAAGAATTGAACTGCAATTTTAAATCGCACACTAATCTACCTATTGACCTAAACATTATATTTTACTAGCTGTTGCCCGCGACTTCGTCCACGGAGATATGATTCCTGTTTATCCAATCATCATCATCGTCATCATTATCATCATCATCATGATCATCATCATCATCATCATCATCACCCTATAAATGCCCACTGCTGAGCAAAACCTCTTCTCACACGGAGAAGGTTTGAGCATTAATCACCACCCTCGCTCAATGCGGATTGGCGATTACAAACTTATAATTAGAAATTATAAGCGTCAGTGGTATCTAGATAATCTTAGAGAGCACATATAAGTCGAAAAACGTAATATTGGTACTTGACGTTGGTAGGTTTTGACCCCGCACTCTCATGCATGAGAAGCGGGCGCCTTAAACCTCCGGGCGACCACGACATATGTTTTATCCCATGGGAGTATTTAATCAGGATAAAAAGTATCCTATCACCTTATGTCAGCCTATACACTGCCTGTATATAAAATTTCATCAAATCCGTTCAGTAGTTTCAGCGTACAAATATACAAACACCCAAACACAATTATAATATTAGTGTGATATTGTCCGAATTGACAGAATGTAACGAAAATAAAGTTTAATGTCTCATTTACAGGCATCGATTGCATATCTAGTTTGCACTAGAAATGCAGAATCAATTAATTATGTTGAGGAACTATCAATTATATTGGTATTGTTTAGAACGATTTTGTTGGAGCAGGTCGACATACAGACATGGGGAAGATAACGTTTAAAATCAATGGATTGCAGTATTCAGGTAGATTTTTTTAAATTGAGCAATCACTATAATTTGTATACTTTATGACATGTGGTAAATTATGATATGAGACTCATTTCATACATAATTGAGGTGATCCGAATCCTAAGAATTGTTATGTGGTTTCATTATTTAAATCTTTGGAGCTGTTCATAACATTAACAGGGCTATAATTCTTTTTATTTAATTCACACCAACATACACTAGTGGGATGCGAGGTGAGCTCGGACGTGACGCTGCTGGACTACCTGCGGCTGTACGCAGGGCTGCGCGGCACCAAGTACATGTGTCGCGAGGGTGGCTGCGGAGCATGCATCGTCAGCGTACACCAACCTGCTGGCACAACTTATGCCGTCAACTCGGTCAGTTAATGCGAACCTTATTTTCTTTTGAACGTAGTAGCCATGCTAACTGTAACCGATTTTTTGTACCTAACTTTCTTAATTATATTAAATTTTGAATAGTCAACAATTTCCGTTTTATTAGACGGATGGACAATTATTAATTCAGTCATACATAATCATTCTGACAGTGCATGAAACCCGTGACATCATGCCATGGACTGGAGATCACCACCATCGAGGGTTTGGGTAACAGACTAAAGGGCTACCATGAACTGCAGACGACATTGGTAAACGATCATGGTTCTCAATGTGGATACTGCTCTCCGGCTTGGGTTATGTCGATGAACAGGTAAGAAAACAGGATCAAAATCAATAAGCTTTTCATAGTGTACAAAAGTCTTAAGAAAAGGTATAATATAGGAGAACATCTGTAAACTACAAATAACAAACTTGCGTATTATATGCAGCTTGCTTCAATCCAACCCTGACATCACAATGTTGGAAATAGAGAAATCATTATCCAGCAACGTTTGCCGCTGTACTGGTTATAGACCTATTCTGGAAGCATTCAAAAAATTCGCCTCCGATGCTCCAAGACAATTTAAGCTACCAGACATCGAAGATCTCAAAATCTGTAACAAAACTGGAGAAACTGTGATAAAAGCAATTGTGAGGATAGTGAGTGGTGCTTTGTAGATCAACAAGTTGACAAAGATGATATCATTGAGATCAAATTAAAAGATAAAAGGTTTTGGTATCGAGTAAACAAAGTCAAAGATATATTCACGATACTTGGAAAAAAAGGTGACGAGTCCTACATGCTGGTAGCTGGGAATACCGCAAGAGGTTTGTCTATTGGAGTTTTTAATGATACTCACGAGTTCTTAAATAACACTTTTGAACTACATAACAAATACGATATTTTTATTGCAGGAGTATATCCCATAGATGAGTCCCCTCAAGTCCTCATAGACATAAGTGGAGTCCAGGAGCTGAAAGGGTACACACTCGATCAGAACTTGATTGTGAACGCTGGGACCACACTCACGGAGTTCTTGCAGATACTAAAAACTGTAGCTAAAGAAGAATACTTTGGATATCTGCAGACGATATATAATCATATTGAGAAAGTTGCACATGTTGCTGTAAGAAATGTAAGTTTTAATGGTATTTAAAACTAAATTGGAGATGAAATAAAACTAGTACCAAAAATAAATGTAATAGTGATGACTGTATTTGCAGGTGGCATCAATAGCAGGGAACTTGATGATTAAGAATCAGCACAACTGGTTCGCTTCGGATATCTACTTACTGTTAGAAACAATCGGAGCACAAGTTACAATACGTTAGTATTCCATAATTATTAATATACTTTGTTGTAATATGTGACCAAAAATACAATTTAAATTACTTTTAGAGAAAAGTATGAGTGCAAAGCAGACGCTGACGATGCAGCATTTCTGAAAATCAATATGAGAGGATATGTCATTTGGAACATCATGATGCCACCTTTATGTAACAGCAAGCATCTGGTTACGTTTAAGGTAAATTTAAAAAATAGATAAATACGTACGTATGCTTATCCAGAAAGGTTGCTTTGTCTGTACTTAAATAAAAAGAAAAAAACTGATGTGTTGTTGTTCTTGCAGGTTATGCCTCGCTCTCAGAACTCACATGCTTATGTCAATGCGGGTTTTTTGTATAATTTATCAACTGATAATGTAGTGAAATGTGCAAGGATGGTATTCGGAGCTCTCTCTCCAACAAATGCTAAGTCTAACTACAGTCACGCCAGTGCCACCGAAAAATTTTTGGTCGGAAAGAAGCTTTTTACCAATGAAACACTGGCATCAGCAATAAAAATATTGGAACAAGAGTTGGTGGTTGAATATAATCCACCAGATCCTTCAGTCGAATATAAAAAGAACGTTGCTATAGGTTTATTTTACAAAGTAAGAATTTTCATTTTAAAATAGTAAAAAAGTGTAGTTTTATTTTCTGAAAAATGAATAAAAATTCGTTTTTCTTCAGAGTCTACTGACACTTTCTCCGGAAACGAATCTTAATACCCGATACAAATCTGGAGCTATCAATTTGCACGATACACGCCCAGTGTCTAAGGCGACTCAGATATTTGAAACTAACCGATCAGTGTGGCCAGTGACACAACCTATTGCGAAAGTAGAAGCTTTGGTAAGTGAACTTTGCAGGATTCAGTGTGATTTTATAATTTATTAAATGTTATTTTATTTTATTTATTTTGGTAGATTCAATGTGCAGGAGAGGCTTTTTATACCGAAGACTGGCCCAACATACCGAATGAAGTTTTTTGTTCTCTAGCACTTAGCACAGTAGGGGTGGGCGATATCGTGTCCATCGATGCAACCGAAGCCTTGGTAAGAGTTGAATATAAGATAATGCAGTAAGAGCGGAAAATTCAATCTTGACACATAAACGTTTTTACAGGCTTATCCTGGAGTGATAGCTTTCTACACAGCAGAAGATATTCCTGGAATCAATTCTTTTACACCAATAGATTCATTTTTGTTTTCAAATTCTGAAGAAGTTTTGGCATCAACTTCAGTGAAGTATTTCAATCAGCCAATCGGTATAGTAGTAGCTGAAACCCGTTACATTGCTGATAGAGCTGCTAAATTAGTGAAAACAACATATACAAATGTTAGAGAGCCAGTCTTAGATGTAAGACAGACTATAGGTGATTCAAGTAGGAGTACTTTATTTGCTCAAGTAGAAGCTACTGACAGAGGTACAGATGAAGTGAGAGTAATTAGAGGAGCTAATTCAATTTATTCTCAATACCATTTTACAATGGAAACACTGACAACGGTGGTTTTACCTTCTGATGATGGTCTTAATGTGTATTGTGCATCACAATGGATGGAAGGAGCACAGTTGATGATTTCACGAGCTTTAAACATGCAACAAAACAAGTAAGTTAACATTTTTAGGTTTAATACAAATAAACAGAAATGTTAAGTTTAATTTTAAATTGTTCTATTTTTCTGGCAGCGTTGATGTACATACTCGACGTATTGGTGGCGGCTACGGGCTGAAATTATCTCGTAGTATTCAAGGTGCCATTGCTGCTGCACTAACTGTAAAGAAACTCAATAGACCATGTCGATTCATCCAGTCGTTGACTACTAACATGAGAGCCGTAGGCAAGAGACTGCCTTGCTACTTAGACTTTGAGGTGATAATTTTTGTAAATTTTGATGAAAAGAGAGGAATTATAAAAAGAGTGAACCAAATCAGTGACAAAGTTTTCGATGTAATAATCTAGGATGTCTCGGGCATTAAATGGAAAAAAACAATAATTATCAAATTTTAAAACTTATGATTTCAGGCTGGTGTGAATAGTTCGGGAGAAATTCAATACATTAATTCTAGGATATTTGAAGATAATGGATACAAAACAAACGAACAGCTGATTTTGTTTGGTATTGGACAATTTAACAACGCTTACAACAGGGCTCGCTGGAATTATACATGTTATGATAATATAACGGATACAGCTAAAAATACATGGACGAGAGCACCAGGCAAGTTGAAATTTTATTACCAGACTACTTAAACACAACCACCACTATATTTGATTTTGAATTTTTCTTTATAAAACAATAGGTTTTTTTGCAATTCATGGTTTTGTTAGATATTGGTGACTGTTATAAGATGTATGTATTTTATGACTTAATAGGTACT